TTAGAAGTCTATAGAAATATATTTTTAAAATAAAAATCGATGGGAAAAATATCCTCAGGTGAGGATAACAACAATAAAGCACACCGGCTTTCTGTTACTGTGGAATGTACTCTTGCCATTCCCAGCAGCCTAAAGACCAGCCTTCGAGGTCTTCTCCCGTAAGATGCCTTCCTGAAATCTCGTCCTCTCTCCCATGAAACAGATAGGAAATCATGCCTGTGCACCCTTCTCCCCTCCACCCCTCCACTTCATTCTTCTCTCTGGAGAAACGTCCTGGCACTGCTGGTTTGCCTCCCCTCAGCCTACCAGCCCGCTGCTCCTGTATAGCAGGATCCAGTTAATTCCTGCAACCCTCCCTCACCAGTCCCTCCAAGCTTGCTCCCAGGTTCTGATAGGACATTATTTTTCTAGGGCACGAAGCTATGGCTTACATCAGATTTAGGTTAAGAACTGATGTTCCTAGTTTATCAGGACACACAGGATATATATGTATAAGGTACCAAGAAAGTAAGTCTTTCCGAATTCGTGGAAAAGATTAATACTTAATATATTCTAAATAGCATTCGGTAATAAGGAAAAAAGAGAGCAAAGAAAGCCACACATATCAGGTACAAGATTCATTTTTAATGAATTTGATAGTCATGTGCAAATTTGAGCATTAAATACAAGAACTGACATTTAGGTAGAGCTACATCTATTTGAATGAAACCAGATTCTCTAAATACACCATCAACCTGAACCAACTTGATTTTTCTGTGTTTTCCCTCTGCAAATTATGTTCTGATCAAGTAAAACATAATTGAATCCTTGCTTCCCCAGACAGGTGCAGTGTTCCAATATATGTTCAAGGAATGGTATCTTAGATGCCTGGCCACAGTTCCAAGCAGTTCTTGATGCTGGAGTAAATGGATTTAAATAGAAAGTTTTACTCACAGAGCAAAAACTTATCTCCATTCTGGCATCTCTTTACAACCAGCAGAGCTGCAACATTAAATAAGGGTTTTTAACAAGGACCAGTTCTTTCCTTGTAGTGGATGTTCCACACACCACGATTACTGCAAGTAGATTAACACCAGCAGCAGGCATGCGATCTGCTTGGAGTGCACCTACTTACATGAAGCTGCTCATGGGAGCTGGTGATTCACCCAGACATGGATCGCAGATAGGAAAAGAGATTTTACCAATTGAAAAAGAGTAGCTCAAGATCACATTGCGACATCACTGTGAAACATTTAACTTTCTTAAGAAAGTTTAAGTTTAAAATGTACTATCCCCTGCAGCTCAATATAAATAACCATTTACTTCTTTGTAGGAACATGTGGTCAGAATGGGTTTTCCAATCTGATGTAATCCCTGAGCAGCTATGTTAAAAATTAACTTTTTAAAAAGCCCAATAAAAACTACTGTATTAAAAGTCTACCAGAATGTTATAGTGGTTAACATATTTCTGTACAGAAACATTAAAGCTACTTAGAAGCTATCTATCCCTTATTGCTGATCAGAAAAGAGTAACAGTATACATTTCCCAGAAACTCTTTAGGTACTTAAGTTGTACACAATTATTCTGAGAAAGAATTTGTGGAGGGACATGACAAATCACCCCACCTGAAATTTTTTACCAACAGGATGAATTTTTTTTGTTAAAAATACATTTTCTTTTACCAAGTTGGGCTAAACATCCTAGACTTCTATTTAATAAATAAGAAAAATACACTTTAAAAATCTTCTGACAAACTTTCCAGAAGGTCAGCAACAGTAAAAACAAGTCAATCTGAGGAAGAGCCTGCTAAAAGTCTTAAGTATTCAATAAGATAGGGCAGCGATTTCCAACCGGTGTGCTGCAATACCTATTTAGTTAGGGGCACTGACCTCTTTTCCCTTAGATTATAAAACAAACAAACAAAAAAAGACAACAGCCAACACAATAGCTGTCCAGTGGGAATGAATCAAAAGTATATCTAATTTTTGGGTCAGGCTGGCAAAAAAATGTATTTTTTGATGTGCCGCAGAATTTTAGTAATTAGTCCACGTGTGCCACGAGAAGGAAAAGATTGGAAATCACTGAGATAGGGTATACTGGATCTGCCAAATCCCATTTGGCCTAAACGTAAATTTTTCTAACAATTAAGTCTCACGTGCCCGAGCACTAGATAAAAGCTGGACTTTTCAGGGCCCCAGCGTGTGCTGGAAGCCCGAGCAGACCTGACAGGCAGACATCACAGACGGGACAGGCACGGGGAGCTCCAGCAGGCTGGTCTCGAGGAGTCCGCTGGATCCAGAGTGAAGAGACCGTCCGCTGCCCCTGCAGGGTCTCTCAGTTTGGGCCCTTGCACCGAAACTGCATGGTTCACTGTAAGTAATGACCAAAATACTGCACAGGTGTTCAGACCAATTAAGCACATTAAAAGGGCTAAATATTGGCTGCTTCTGGGACAAGACATCCAGTCACTTTTGGTAATTAAATAGCTAAGAAGGACTTTTATTCTCAGAAGAAGAGAACAGGAAGAGACGGCGGAGAACCACCAATTCCCTCTGAGAAATGTAGACACTAAGGGTTAGAGAGTGATGGCCACTTTGTTAGGAAGTAACAAACCCAGGTTGTCCCCAGGTCCCAAAGGAGGAAAAAAAGTAAAATAAATAAGATGCTAGAATATAACCGCCAGATGTTGTGAGTGGGACGAGCCAATGCTGCCTGGTTCTCGTGGACCATTCGTCTCTCCCTCCACCACCACAGCTCTCGGACCAGTGGCCCTGCCAGAAGAGAAGCGGCTGAAATGTAGCCTGGGGTCGTTCCTTCTGCTCACATATTTAAGCGTGCCATTACAGAGGAACAGCCGCTGGTGTGCTGGGGCCATCACCCTCCGGGCCAGAATACCTGACATGATTCAGAAGATACAAATCAACCCTCACCCAGGAGGCGCCCACGTCTCCTGGAAGGACAGGCGAGGATGTCGGCCACAGAAGCACAAGGACGAACATGCTCAGCTCAGCAGCCCGCAGGCCTCCCTCCCTCCTCGTGGAGGCAGCAAGCGCCCACCCCCGAGGACGAGGCTCAGCAGGAGCGGCCGGCCCCTCCCTCTTATGTTTTCTATTGGAAAACGCTGGCCCAGCCGGATGGCTCAGTGGTTGAGCGTTGACCTATGAACCAGGAGGTCGTGGTCTGATTCCCAGTCAGGGCACATGCCTGGGTTCGACCCCCCAGTGTGGGGCATGCAGGAGGCAGTCTATCAATGATTTGCTCTCATCATTGATGTTTCTATCTCACTCTCCCTCTTTGTTCCTCTCTGAAATAAATAAAAACATATTTAAAAAACCCAAAAAACTCTGTACAGCCCTGGCTGGGTTGCTCAGTGGTTAGTGCACTGACCCACAGACCGAAGGGTCTCGGGTTTGATTCTGGTCAAGGGTGCAGGCTTTGGTTGCAGGCTTGATCCCTGACCTGGTTGGGGTGTGTGCGGGAGGGAACCAATCAATCTGTTTCTCTCACATCGATGTTTCTCTCTCTGCCTCTCCCCTCCCACTCTCTGAAGATCAGTGGAAAATATATCCTTGGGTGAGGATTAAAAAAATACTCTGTACAGATAGACATTAAAATAGACCCAAGACAACAGCTCTGTGCCCTCCCACAGTCCCTTCTAGAAAGTCCCTTAGTCTCGGGAACTGGGGATCTTGTGGTACTCAATTCACATTATGTAAAAAGCAGAAAGATGAAGCCAACAATTCATTGTATGTTCATCTTTCATTTTCCCGAACCTCATGACCCCAACCCTATAAGGATTATTGCTCCCTTTGGCATATAAGAAACGGGGGCTCCGAAATTAACTATGTCACCCAAAGTCACCCAGCAAGGACCTGAAGCACAACTTTGATGTTTCAAAGGTAGAAATAGCATCCCCCCGTCTACATGATTCATTCGGCCTAAGGAGTTTAAAGAAGACACTTGTAAGTTCCAGGAAGTCGGGCACGTCTGGTAGGTTAAAACCCGCTGCCTCTTAGGCGCCGAGCGGGCAGTCGGCTGGGAGGACGGCTGTGCCCCTGCTCCCAGGCCGTGGCTCAGCTCCTGCTGGCCCTCAGCTTCCGGCGGAAGTAGTCGGGGGCGGCCTCGTACAGCCACTCGGCGTCCACCACGCAGAGGTCGCGCATGTAGCACTTGTTGGTGTGGAGCAGCTCGGTGTACACCACGCAGGCTGGCTTGCAGTGGAAGAGGACGGACGAGGGGTGGATGGCCACCGGCTGGTGCGTGTCTGTGGTGGCGTAGGTCCCGTCTGGCTGGAGCTCGGCGGTGCTCATGAAGAGGCTGTGAGCCAGGCAGCGGCGGACCGTCTCCATGTCTCCTCGGGACGACAGGATGGGCATGGACATCTGTGTCAGGAGGAAGCGAGGATTGGAGAAGACCCCAGACATACACGCTGCTCACATTGCATCGCATTCGGAACACCCGCACCCAAAATGCAGCCCACACTGCAGGCCTAACAGCGTGGAAGTTGCCATTGGGAGGTGTTTCCTCAAACACCTCAGAGAGCAGCCCGGGCGGAGGAGGTGCCGCTGAAGGAGGGTGAACTGAAAACAGGAAAAGCGCAGCCTGGCGAGTAAGGGCCAGGAGGGAGACGGTCATGTAAGGGGCCAGGCAGACAGGCCTGGTGAGCCAGCACCTGTGCCCATGGAAACACCGGCCAGGAGAGGCAAGGAGAGGCCTTTCCCTCGACTGACCACCTCCTCTCCTGCCTCCAGCCACCTTCCTCTACCAGCTCGTCATTCTTCACCCCTGAAAACCTTCACTGTCTCTACTGCTCCTGGCAAAGCAATGCAGGCTTCCAACTGTGACTCTGTGAATGAGCGAGCTGTCCTGAGCATCTGCGGTCCTCAACGGCCTCCTCCCTCCGGGCCCGTTCCCCAGGGGCCTTCCCACGTGCACCACGGGGAGACAGAGCACCCCTCCGCTCCCCAGCGGCAGTGGCGGTAGTCAGTCTGCAGCTCCCCACCCTTGCCGATGGGCCACGTCACCTTACACCCCAGGCCACAGCGGAACCAGCCAGTGGCTTGCACTGCCTGACCACACCGGCCAGCTTCTCTCTTCCGGCATTTGGAGTCTGAGCAATCCGTTAGGGTTTTGAAGAGGAGGCCAGGGAAAGCAGTCGCTTGTACAGAGGCGGAAGGTGAAAAGGGGGAAGGAGGCAGGCAGAGAGCAACCAAAACAAGAGGCAAGCAGACTCAGAAAGCTGCCCTTGCTCCCAGTGGCCTTTTCTGGTTCCTCATGCCAGTCCCTGTATGGACTGGGGTTGGACTATTTCCTGTCCAGATTCCAAAGGTACCTCTTTATCCCCCCTTTTCCCCTTTAAGGTGGCTCAAGATGTCTTGTTCTTTGCAATCAGCTGATCCTGGCCTGAGGAAGACACTATCTCCTCATCTGTTAGGAGGTAGCTCAGTATCACCGCCTCCAGGAAGCCCAGAGTCCCACTGCTAACTGGTCTCTCCTTCCGGCTGCCAGCTCCACACTCACTGGGCCTGTGCCTTGGGGCATATGACTTAACTTCCTTGGGCTCTAGTTTCATCATTGGTGAAATGGGAATAATAACAGAATCAACCTTACAGCGGGTGAAGTGGGGATTTCAAACAAGGTATCACATAAAAGTGCTTAGAATGGTGCCTTAATAAGTACTTCATAAACAATTTCTATAATTATAATTATCATCAGCTCCCCACAGGAGATATATGCCTATATGTAAGTCAGATTGCCCCTCCAGATTGTTCCTCGAGAAACTTAGTGTCAGTGCAGCTGTACACCTCCGGGACCTTGGCCAGTGTCCGGCGTATAAAGAGGGCGTGGTCAGTCACTAAAGCTTCTTCCATCAGAACAGAGAAGCACCACCTCTATTGTCATGAATACACAGAAAACTCAGGAGGCTGAGATGGTCTGGCAGGCAAAATGTTCAAGTGCAAGAGGGGTTTGGGAAAATGTGTAAAATTCAGAACACAATAGGCTACTTTGAGAAGAAATAGCATTAAATGTTAACAGGCCGCTGGCAGCAGACACAGGCTGGGCACAGGCCACAAGTCTCCTAGGAACGTGCAGTCTGCACTGGGGCTGTCCAGAGAGGCCTGACACACAAAGACAGTCAGCGGAGATGTCTACGACAGCACATGGGCACTTCCTGTGCTCAACAACAGGAGATACTTACAAAACTACCCCCACCTCCGAGTAAAATGCAGTGTCATATAATCATTAATATACACAGGACTTTAAGACATCATGTACTCTAAGAGGAATATAAGCTAACAGAAAACTTTCTGGTAGACAATTTGGCAATAACTATCAAGACCTAATGTCACTATGCATGAATTCACCATTCATTCTATGCGCACTAGGCCACAAACACATATGTCGGAGGATGGTCATTCTGATATAACCTAAACAATCACCCTTGGACTTGGTTAAATAAAATGTAGTGGACACAATGGAAACCTATGAGGTCACTAAAAAGAGTAAGATGGACATAAAAAATACTGAGAGACAGCCCAGACACACTAAGTGTTCAAAACGTCTACCAAATGGAAAAAAGCAAGCTGTAAAACAAAGTGTGTATCATATTTATGTTCTGAAGAAAATGTTATATATATGTATCCATGTGTATATGTACACACACATACACACACACAGGAAAAAATTCTAGAAGGATAAAGGATTGTTAACAGAGGTTTATCTAGAGAGGCAGAGTTATGGGAGACTCTGAAACTTTCTGCATTTTATATCACTATTTTCTGCATTGTATCAACTTGTAAAAATTGTGCACTACTTATGTAATCTAAAAAGAATAAATATATTCCTACTAAAATAATCTTATGATGAATTCTAATAACATTGGAAAATACTTTTACAGAAGTTGAATATAAATGTAACTAAGTATGCAAAAAACATTTAACAAGACTATGAGGAAACAGATCAAAATGGTGAGATGGAATTGTGGATAATTTTCACTTTCTTTCTTATTTAAAAATTTTCATACAGTAAGAGTTTCTTTTGTAATTACTAGCTATAAACAATTAAAAATTTTTTATCTAGAAAAAAGTAATAGCTTAGTCCCTCATAGGACAAGCAGGAAGAAAGAATACCTTTATGCAGATATCCCTCAGCTGGGCTCTGACTTCAGCTACTAGCATCATATTCTTGCTGTTGACAAAATTCTCTTTGCACCAATCCTGAGCAGGAGAAAAAGAGATACCTCAATCCTCTCATTTCTATAATGAAAATAAAATGATTTTTAGAACATAGTTGAATTTAGAGGGAAAACTTTAGCTGCCAAAAATATAGAAAGATATCTTTATATCAAAAAGCATAAACCATAAGAAAAAATATTTAAACAAAAGTAAAACAAAATAATTTTTTTATGTCAAGTCACTATGAAAAATGCTTCAGACTGAGATGTTTGCACTACTACACCCAATAAAGGTAAGTATCTCCAGAATACATTAAAAAACAAAAAGAGCCCTCGCTGGTTTGGCTCAGTGGATAGAGCATCAGCCTGTGACTGAAGGGTTCCAGGTTCAATTCCAGTCAAGGGCATATGCTCGGATTGTGGGCTCAATCCCCAGTAGGGGGTGTGCAGGAGGCAGCCAATCAATGATTCTCTCTCATCATTTTCTCTCTCTCTTCCTCTCCCTTCCTCTCTAAAATAAACAAAAACATATTAAAAATAAACCAACAGCCCTGGCCAGTTGCTCACTGGTTAGAGCATTGGCCCAGGGAAGGAAAGGTCTTGGGTTCAATTCCCGGTCAAGGGCATGTACCTTGATTGCAAGTTCAATCACTGGCCCTGGTTGGTGCACATGTAGGAGGCAACCAATTGATGTGTCTCTCTCACATGGATTTTTTTTTAAATATATTTTATTGATTTTTTACAGAGAGGAAGGGAGAGGGATAGAGAGTTAGAAACATCGATGAGAGAGAAACATCCATCAGCTGCCTCCTGCACACTCCCCACTGGGGATGTGCCTGCAACCAGGGTACATGCCCTTGACCGGAATCGAACCTGGGACCCTTGAGTCCGCAGGCCGACGCTCTATCCACTGAGCCAAACCGGTTAGGGCTCACATGGATGTTTTTAAAAACAAACAAATAAACAAAAAATACAGGCCCTAGCCAGGTCGTTCAGTTGGTTAGAACATTGTTCCGATATGCCAAGGTTGTGGGTTTGATCCCTGGTCAAGGCACATACCATATAAGAACTAACCAATGAATGCATAAATGAGTGGAACAACAAACCGATGTTTCTCTCTAAAATCACTAAATAAAAACATTTTAAAAAAAGAACCTTTTATAAATCAGTAAGAAAAAGACCAACAGTCCAGTAGAAAATAGACTAAGGCTATGAACAGACAACTCACTTTTAATAGAAATGACTTATAACCAATAAACTCATATAAGGATTCTCAGTCTCTTGAGGAATCAAGGCAAAGTAATTGAAACAGCTGAGATACTATTTCTAATCCATCAACTTGGTAAAAATTAAAGTCATTTCAACTAAGCATCGGAGAGGATGGTGGGAAAGGAAGCTCATACATCACTAGCGGGGAGTGCAGAGGGGCTGACAGCTTTGGGGAGCCACGTGCTCGCCAGCAGATCCGCTTCTGAGTGTGGACCCAGAGAAACACTCCCCCTGCACAGACGGTCACAGTGGTGCTGCACGTGGAAACAAGCTGCAAACATCTGTAGCATCCAATGTTCAGATATGAGGTAAGGTATGCTGCCACACGCCACCCTCAGGACAGAGGTTACACAGGGACGGCATTAAAATGCAGAGCAAGTTAAAGCACGCACACCATGGCACAATTACTGATTATCCTGATAAGTGAAATAATAGACCCGTTTTCCCTTGGTCCCAGGAACTGAAATATCATACAAGCAAAAACTACTATGAAGAAAGTCAGGGGCAGGTGGGGAAAACCCATTTTGTAGCTAAGCAACTGGTCACTAACTACTGAACTAATTTGTCCACATTAAATATGAGTTAAACACAAGGGGAGCGAAAGGCAGAAATCGCATTTCTTCCCTGGTACTGTCCCTGTACAAGATCTTGCTGAAATGATAACTGACATTGTTTTTGTGGCTCTTTAGATGCTTCAGCCAAGAAAGGAAGGCCGACATTCCCGAAAAGCGGTATCACTGGAGAAGAGGAACGAGACGGAGCGCACCTTATTTCCACCCAAGTTTTTGAAGGTCCGGTAGATGTTGAGCAGGGTGACGTGATCGCCCTCGCTGGAGATGAACTTCTTCCGGACACCCTGCACTTCATCCCGCCGGGCGGGCGGGTTGTAGAGGACGCTGTCCACGGACAGCAGGGAGACGATGGTCAGTATCTCCTCCGTACAGTGGAATTTGGGGGACAGGAGGATGGTCTGCAAGTCAAAATTGAAAACTGCGTTAACCAAAATTCTTCCTGGCTCTGAATGCAGTATTCCTGTACACTGCTTTTATAGTTCCCCTTCTAAGGGGTTAAAGGGCAGGCGTTTCTAAAACCATGACTGAGTGTTAATGTTACTTGACCTGTTTGTAGAACAAATGATTGTCTTTCCTGAAGGATTCCAAATCCCTTGTGGGTAGGGCTCATGATTTAAAATGAGTTCTAAGCCCACGTAGAACGTAAATCAGTGTTAGATATAAGTGGGAGTGGACAATTATTTAGGAGAAAAGTGAAGGTTAATCTAGAAGCACTGGGTTTCGAAGTCCGCTTTGGGATGGCTAAGCTGTAATGTACAGAAAGGGGACTGAAGAGAGGGCATCATTTACTTTGGCAAATTTGGGCTCTAAGGGAAACGCTGCCATCTTCCTTCCGAGTGGAGTCAGGGTGAGCTGCTCATCCTTGTGCTCCAGAGCACCCAACAGGTCCAGCTGGGCGATGGCCGCCTGAACGTGATCTGAAACACAGACATAAAAAAAAGGAGCCAAAAAATCCAAAAAAGAAGTCACAACTAGTTCAGTGCTTCTGATAACTTTACAACTGATCAAACCACAGCAGAGATCACACCACCACTGTCCTCAGGACACACTTTCAAAGCTGTTAATGACACCACTTCTTCAGTTCAATTCCCTTTTATTTTATTTATTTTTTTGTTAATCCTCACCCAAGGATATTTTCCCATTGCTTTTTAGACAAAGTGGAAGGGAGGGTAGAGACAGAAGGAGGGAAACATCAACGTGAGAGACACATCCATTGTTGCCTCCTGCACACAGCTGGGGATCAAGCCTGCAATGGAGGCATGCACCCTTGACCAGAATCGAACCTGGGACCCTTCAGTGCACAGGCCGATGCTCTAACCACTTAGCCAAACCGGCCAGGGCTCAATTCCCTTTTTAAAGAATGGTCTGCAGAATCCCTCTCCCGGGAGCACGTGCGTGCCTCTCCCTTCCCCTCTCTGCCCAGGAAGGCCATCACTGCTCCCTCACCCGCAAGCTCCAAGGGCCCTTCCTTCACCTCTACAATTTGTTTCCTAAGCCCTTTCTTTTTGTAGAAAGTACTCCTCCTACCTCTGTAATTTACCCAATAAATGTTCTCTTACCAAAAAAAAGAAAAAATGGTCTGCAATTTGGCAATATGTATGTAAATTTTAAAGCCAGCAATGATACACTTAAGAATTTCACCCACAAAGAAAAAATATCAAATAAATAAATAAATATAAAAGAATTTCCCCCACAGACATGCTCACACAATGTACAGGGACCAGTGTCTCTAGAAGCACACACTCCACAACATCAATACCAGGGCCCCTGCTGAGAAGGCCACTATTTACTACTCACTCTTTTATGGTTTTTCATTTTGAACCATGTGAATGCATTACCCATTAAAGAATAAAACGCTCTCCTAAGATGCAATAAATATATACATACTGAGAGGAAACGATCTGTAAAATACATTAGGTGCCCAAAGAATGCACAAATGTCTCAGTCAACGGGAGAATGACTAAGTGCATTTTGCTTTATTCATAGAATGCAATAGCATTTGGTGGTGAAAATGCATCAACACAAACCTTACAAAACAGAATGAATGAAAAGGGAAGGTTACTGAGGAACTGACACAGAAACATGCAAACAGAAACAACACATTGCTTAGGGACACACACCTGCAGAATAACACATTGCAGAAAAGCAAGGGACTGCGAACAAAATGTGGGAGGCGGTTCCCTGAGGGAGTGGGAGGGAAGCCAGTGCGGCCAGAGGGTGCACGGGGCTTCACGGGCGCTGGCAAGGGGTGCACGGGTGTTGGTTTTACTACTCCTTCTACCTTACATATATGTCTTCCTTTGTGTGTACAAATTTAGCAATGAAAAATACAATGCTTTTCTTCTTTTTTTGCTTTCTCTTTTTATTGTATCT